AATTCAACTATTTCAAAAAAATTCACAAATACTTGAATTTTAAATTCTTTATAAATTCTTCATCCAAATAAGGTATTTCACCTCAAAGAATTTGAAATTCTTCAAAAAAATGAATTACTCCATTTAAATTTTTCATCTAAATACACTATTAAGAATTAAAAAATTCTTATGAATTTAGTTGATTAAGAGTTGTTTTGTGTTGAAGTTAAGGTTGACCAAATTTAAAGAAATGTATATAAGATTTTCTTAAGACTTAAACTTCATAAGTTTATTTTCTTAAGAAATCTAGAGAAAATCTAGAGAAGCTCTGAAGCAAAAGGGGCCCTCTTTCCATTCTGACTTTACCAGACTGCTCTATTTCTTTTCTAGAGCTTAGATTGATCGTAGCTGAGTTGAGATTCAAAGTTTGTACCACCAAGAATCACATTCGTAGTGTTTGTCATGCAAAGTTAGCTCGGGAGGTCCTGCTCTTCTTCTTCCTCTTTTTCTAGAAATCAAGATAAGGGAAGTTTATAGATTAAACTTGTTGAGTTGTATGTTTTGATTCATAATTGTTCTTGTTAATTTGATAGCTTTGATTGTTGAATTTGAGAAGTGAAAATGAGATGTTCTTGGTGTATGTTGTTCTTGAATAGAATGAGAAGGAAATTGATAGATTGTAATATTTTATGGTTGCATGTTTTTCTTCTTGATGAATTTGAGTTGCTGGTGATGTATATATGCATTTTTGTGAGTTAAATACTAGTTTTGTGACTGATTTACAGATATATGAAGCCAATTTACAATTCTATCAAGTGTGAAAATCACCATTGCGTTAGACGTGAGATAGGTAGCACCAAACATGAGTTAGAATGGAGCTTTCTATCTTGGCCACGCTTGGCGGGGGTTGAGGGACAATGGGTGTGATTACCCTCAAATCTCTCTAAATTGGTAAGGTTCGACCCAAGATGAGTGTAGTCATGCCTAATCAAGTAAGGGACTCTTTGCTTAAACAACATCGAGTGCATGTTTTGTGACGTTAGGCATGGATAAAGTAAAGGCTCTTTGTCTAAATGACGTTGCATGTGAGTTTTGCGACACCAAGAGTGTTGTACTCAAAGACTTCTTGTCTCATTCACGTTGGGCGTAAATGGTATGGCATCGAGCGTGGGTGAGCTAGAGGCTCTCTGCCTCACCAACGTCGGGTGCTGGCTCAATGACGTCGAATAAGGTTTTATTGAATGAAAACCTTAATTTAGTTGATTTTAAATGTTGAATCATGATGATAATTGCTTCATGTGTTGATGTTCTTAATTGAGTAAGTTGAAAGTTGGTTTGTAGTAGAGTTGTATGATGCTAAAATGTATAGTGTTGAATGAAGTTGTGTTGTGAATGCTTGATGCATGTAGTTGTACTGTTTTGTTGACTTAGGGCTAGAAAAAAGGTGTTGTTTTAATAGATGAATATCCCATTGTGAGGATATGTTGTTGTGTTACTCTAAAAGCCTAGTTTTTCAAAAACTTTTCTTGAGTTTAGTTGTCTCTTGAAGTGGAATATTGAGTATTCTCTTGGTCCTTAATTGATACGGTATAGGGGTAAGGTCATACCATATTGGTTTAGAAGTAATCAATCAAGTAAGGCACAAGGTTGGGGGCTAAAATCCCTAACTAAGTACTAGAAATGATGCAATATTTGGAAGATAGTTGGGGGATTAATTCCATATAGGATTAGTTATGTGTGCTAAGGTCATAATAGGCTCATACTTAAGTTATTCTATCCCCGAAAAAAATACTAGATTTTTCTAGTCCAAGTGACAAAATCCGAGAAATCATGTTATGTTGTAGATTAATATCCAAAATTACTATTGATTTAACAAGCTCAAAAAGATCGCGTTGTAAAGTTGATTCAGTAAAGTCAAATTAGACTACTCACCTCGTTATAAGAGATATCTTAGTTGAAATGTGTAACGATGCATTATATTGTCATGTCATATTGTAGTATTGTTTTAAGTTGAAAGGTTGATGAGTTGTTTTGTGTTACTTATATGTTGTGTTAACATGTTGAAAGCGGTTAAGAAATTAAATGTGAACCTATGTTGTATGTTGAGATATGCTACTAACTAGGCATTGAGCCATAGTTGTATTGCTTTATTAATATGTTGTGTAGTGTTCATATGATGCAGCGTTAATAAAAGGGTACATTACATAAATATTACTTGTTGTTTTTGTTGTATTAAAGCTTACCTTGCATTTTATTTTGTGTTGGGCTGCAATGATCATATTTATATGAGAACAAGGCAGGACAAAATTGGAGGATTAGTTGTTGGAGTGTCATGTGGAGATGACACTTCTTTTGTTGAAGGCTACTTGTTGTAGCTTGTATGGAGCAATTACTTGACCAACAACCTAAAGTTTATGTCTTTAGTCTGGATTATTATATGTATATATGTGTGTATATGTGTAAAGTTTTTAGTTATAGTCTCATTGAGAGATTTACATACACACACATATATATATATATATAGTAATTATTTTCCTGTTAATCCTAAGTAAATAGATTTGTTTTCTGCTAATTAGAATGTTGAGTTGTAAATTATAGAGACCTATCAAGTTATTACAATTATAGGTCAAGAAAGCTTGATTTTTTTTTTCCAAACATTATATTTTCTTTCAACTTCTCCTTTGCCGACAAGGCTTTTTACTTCTTGCAATCTTTTAAAACACTAAAGTTAAATAATAATAATAATAATAAAATTAAAAAAAAAAAAAAAAAAAAAAAAAAAC